CTACTAGTCTTGATGCTTACTCTTGAGTAGTCCGAAAATGAAAGTTGTTACGTACTCAGCATCCACCAACTTAGTAAATCCACTCTGAAGGCCGCATGCATTAACACCACTGGAAAGGGAACGCAGTCTAAAAGAAACCAATATCTCAAAGTCCTATCTGGATTGAAACTAGTTGCTCTTGTGGTCACCGAATGACTGGTGGCAATGCAACGAGGAAGAAAAGCTGAGTCGAATAGTTTTGAAGCGTTTGTCTACATCCAGTCCGCAAGTTTCAATGATAATCTGGCCAACCCAATAATTCTCTCTATCAAGACTACAGCTCACAACTTTTTTGTAGATTCAGTTTCTCAGAGGAAGGAATTATTAGTCGATAAATAATGGGTTCCACTCAACGCTATTCTCGCTTCATTTGAATTCTTCCGAAAACTTGTGATTATGGGTAACTGACCTCGATGTGTATGAAAATTTGTTTTTGCATACCAATTTTGATTCGGACCATGAGCACAAACTCACATACATGCGCACAAGACGCTTTTCGCTCCATGATTAGCCTTTCCAGATAACGAACATCTTGGTCGTTTGAAATCCAACTGCTGTTGTATCTATACCCGACCTCGCGTCTGGGATGACCCCAGCACCTGGGAACAGGATGAGGCGGAGGTAAGTTGCAAGGTGTTTTTAAAGATAGAATAAGTGTCTGGTTCAAGACAGAACATTGCCGCGGTCATACCTTACCACCACCTCCACCAGCGTCTACACATAAGAAAGACGATGTCAAAGACAATGCTGCTGATGTGAATGGACCGAGCAGTGAATAAGAAACTTTGTGAACAACAGCGAACGCAATATTCCCATTATGGATAACAAAGTCGATAATGAACATTGTGCATGTACACCTGCAATTTACAGCTATATTAAATGCAAGCATCATTTCATGACCAGACCGTCACCTCTGTTACACATGGGGTCATTATGAGCCTTAAAAATCTTACCAACTGGGCATAAAATCGCCATAGCGAGCTGCCGTCGCGTGGAATTGGGCAACCATATTTTTCTTGGCGCTTCCATTTCTACTTGAATCGTTTCCCACAGTGTCAAGGTGCTGTGAGTGACTGAGCCAAGCATGAGAAATAGTGTGTGAATAAGGTTGGGATATGTGGGCATTTACATAAATGCTTGCGAATCTGGACCCCATCGCACAAGAGAAACTGATAACATTGACCAAAAGCGAGAATTTTTGGGAGACTTGCCGGACGATTGTAAATCACATGGCTTTAAAAAAAAGTTGTTAGATTCAGCCTAGGCAAATAAGCCCAAAT